GGATGGATGGATGGATGGATGGGATGGATTGATTGATGGGATGGAATGATGGATGGAATGGATGGGTGGGATGGATGGGTGGATGGGATGAATAGGTGGGTGGATTGGATGGATGGATAGGATGGATGGATGGTACGATGGATTGGATAGTTGAGTGGATGGATGGATGGATGGGTGGGATGGATGGGATGGATGGATGGGTGGATATATGGATGGATGGATGTGTGGATATCATGGATGCGTTGATGGGACGGATGGGTGGACGAATCAATAAATGGACAGATATACAGTTGTATAAACAAATGTTTTCATAACAAACTGTACATGTTACATAATCTTCTTCTATAACCTACCAACATAAACCCAAGAGGTGATGTCACTTTATGGATATATTTTTCATCCTTATTTAAGTCCCCATTATCATCACCATCCTAGGAAAAAACAATTCACAAAAACTGTCAATCAAATTTAAAGTCAGATTGTAAACCTAGATTTATTTCCTATGGAAATAAAATCGCCAACCATCCTCTCTATCAGCTTCTTCCCAAAGCTGGTAACTTTAATTTAGTTAAAGCATTTATAATACACTTAACAAAATTACTCGATTCAGATTGGACAAGAGGAGTACAATTAAATCCCAAATTATACTCTGTAGAGTCCCGATTGTTGAGTGACAAAAACAAAAAAATCGCACAATCTTCTTGTACAATTCAGAATTCATAGATACTCATTATGTTTTAAAAGTTCTTAAATTCAAAATATAGATTAAAATAAATTCCGAATTGTACTCAAGATCATGCGATTTTTCTATACTAACAAACCTTTACAGTATCATAGCAATCTTCATATTCTTTAAACTGACACACAAAGTCAGTTTCCACAGATTCTGTTTTGGTCATGAGTACAACACTGGAGGCTTTCTGTGCTCTTGCAATAGCTGTCTTTTTAACTTGTTGGCTCTGAGCACCCACCAAATCTTTAATGACTGTTTGTGTCATTTGGGTTTCTTCAGCTGTGTTACATTCCTTGATCGTCAGCAGACTTGAGTAATTTGGGGAAAATAGACATATCTGCTGGCCTGTGTTCATTTTGTAACCCATGACATCAACAGCTCCCTGTAACAGCTTTATTGATACTTTTCCTTGAACTGCTACAGCCTAGGGATTAAAATAGGTGTTAATGGATTATTAGACTCTGGTTTGGACAGAAGCGATTGTTATATAGAATGGATCATAATTAGCAATATTATTATTCCCCGAAGGCTAAGTGAATATCGGGGAATATTTACCAAGATGCGAGTCTTCAAGTGGTGAGGTAAATATTCTCCATATTCACTGAGCCTGAGGCGAATAATTGTTTTAGCATATACCAACTTGTCTACAGAGAAACTTATTTTTATATACAATGATTCAATAAAAACAAACAAACAGCAACTTTAAGTTTGCGTGACAAATTCACGCAAAATCTTTAGCAAAATTTTTAGCAAAACTTTTAGGCCATACTTTGTTGCCTTTTTAGTATTGATAGGAATGGCAATTACTTTCATTGTTTCAATTTCCTCATCGGAAATTGTAGCAAAACGATTGCCGGCAGATGCCATTTTGTTGCCGACTCAATATTCCGAGATTCAAAGGTGAATATCGTACAATATTTGAAAACCAAATATTTGAACCCAGCACTGTCATGCTTGCAGCACTGTCACAATCATATGGCATGTCATATCTATACTGCAAATTAAACCCTGAATGAATTAAATATCATTTTTATGAGTATGGGAAATTGAGCTTTTTCCAGCCTACTGACCTGACTTCTTTTCATGAACAAAAGACATGAACCTTTACCATTTTGACCTAAAGATAAAATACTGGGGGAAAAATAAATTATAGTCAGTGACCTAACATATATCTTGCATCCTAGGTCACGCCATTTTATACATGATGTACACACATCCCTGTAGTCAAAACGAGTGATAAAATATATTCATTAATTTATTTATAGAGAGGGTTTATTTTTACTTCTACAAAAATACATAAAATTTCAAGGAAAAATGCAACTAAATAGACAGTCAAACTCAAAGCCAAGAGAAAATTTTAGCTCTTGCCAATGTACGCACATCTCTGTAGGTAAAATAATTTAGTAAAAATGTAAACGTTGGCAACTAGTCTATTTGAAAGCAAGATACTTTTCTGATCCACAAAATGTTATTATTGCTGGTTGAATTGTCCCTTATAACAGTTTCGCCATCAAGGTAACCGTGCAAGTGCATCGAAGGGAGAACAGCTGTGACTTTGCGACGACAGAGACCTTTTTTTAAAAACGCCTTTTTAAACACCCAATTATTTACATGTCCCTGCAAGGTCACCGCTGTTATCGCTTTGATGCACAGACACAGTTACCTTTCAAGATGGCGCAGAGAACTGTGAAGGGCAATATTGTGTTCGATATTTGTCATCAAGATAACAAACTTACCTTTTATCATCTAGTCTATTGTTTTCTCCTTCTTCTTTCTTTCTAGTTTTCTTATTTTCTGTTTTCTCGACTAACTTGGGTTCATTTTTATTTGCAGTTATTTTTCTATGTTTTACTCCACGTGTGTTCCCAACAACAACGACATCTTTCGAGCCTTTACTCAGCTTTCTTTTCCGAATTGCTTTAACACTTCCCTCCATAACGTCTAGCAAACCTTTGCGCAAGCTTTTTATAAGAAATCTTCCCAATTTTTTCATTTTCTGGCTATAAATCTGGGAATATCTTCAAAACCTATCGCGTCCGCCATTTTGGATTTCTGCTTTGATCCAGTCTTTCGCGGTTATTTTTTGTCACAGGAAGACCGAGTTTACTTGACAATCATTCTTTTCCATTCGCTTACTCATTCATTGTTTATTTATTTTTTATCCCAATCATTTGGGAAAATGGAAGTTTTTAAAGGCAAAAAAAGATCAAATAAAATTTCCGTCTTTCAAAAGTACAGGAAGGAACAACTTTCGGAAATGGTTTCCTGTTGTTACGCAGCTGTATCACCCGGCCAGAAAAGCTAAAAATAGATACCTGTGACGTAGCAGATACGTCATCAAGTGATTAAATGATCAATTAAAAGGAAGAAGCATTCCGGGATGGGCTGAACAGTTTACAAGCTTGATGCTTCCAAATCAACTTGTTAACAAGTCTGTTTATCTGGAGATCAGACACAATGACAGCCAACTTGTTAACAAGTCTGTTTATCTGAAGATCAGACACAATGACAGCCTTATCTCTCTTTAATGCGTTCATCACAAGAGTAGCGTTCTGTCTTCATGTCATTCTGTCCGTCGCACTGGTGGTTGTGCATACCAAACAGAGGCTCTATTGGTGCTTTCTGATTGGAATCATCTTCATGATTATCGAGATGTTGTACGTCATGATCAAGAGAAAGGGCAGGGAATATAGTCTGTAAGTTGGTTTGAAGGTTGTTTATTTGTTGGTCTAGATGACTAAATGATAGGTAGGTCATGAGCAGTAGGTAGTAAGTAAAAAGTAAGAAAGAAAGAGAGAGAGAGAGAGAGAGAGAAAGAAAGAAAAAAGGAAAGAAAGAGGGAGAGAGGTAAGAAGAGAAAACTCGGTTCTGCTCAAAAGGTAGGAAACAGGAAAGAGAGAGAGATGGAGAGATGGAGAAAGCCTACGAATATAATCAATGCCTGTAGTTTCTTCCACTTCAAGCAACACTACCGACGAAATGCAAATTCCTAAATTCGTAACGAGAGAAATAACTATTGCCAACGATATATATTTTGCGCGCGCATTCACTACAATAAATGCTCTCATTTTTTTCAAATTTTCTCAATTAAATTTCTCATTTTCTCACTGGACTCTGAAGATGACTTCTGCTCAGGTTGTGGAAACGTCAGTCACCACCAACAACAGTCTTTCTCAAGACTACACTCACCGGGACGATCACATTTCCACCCAGTAAATTTTATTTTTCAAACTTCAATTTTCCTTTTTAACTGTGTAATAAAGTACATTTTACGATCTGAACAATGCTTCTTTGTCAGTTTTAATTTTGAGAATTGGATGATTGGTTATAATAGCAAATTAAATAAAATCTATGTTGCCAGTTAGATAATCTTAATCATTAAGGCAACGCTGCTTCGCTCGACTGCCACGCCTTTAGCGTTTTCGTTTTTCGGACTGAAATTGTTTTAGATTATCATATCTTCTATATGTTCATCTTCTCTTGAGGTGGATATCCTTATGATTATTTGTTCGTAGATATATTTTATCAAAGATAAGTGATGTTTACAACATTGAGCGGTGGTGTTATATCGGCTAGTAAAATCACGAGCCGGAGGCGATTAATAATGAATTGGCGATGAATATGATAATGCAGTTTTTCAAAACCGTAAAACAAGGAATATATAATATACTGCGAGGCAGTCAAACTTGTCCTAAAGCGTTATCCACGCAGTAACAAGTATATAGTTTTATTTTCCTGTTTACGACATCGTAACCACAGCTTAATTTTAACTTTTAACAAGAGATTGCCGGCAGGCAAGAACTTCATGGACCTAGTTCAGTTTCTCTTGCATGGACTCTTCCTAAAAGTCTTTCTACTTCCGTTCAAAAGTTTAAACTAGTTCCCGCTTTCCGAGACCCTATTGAGTATATACCAAGAGAATATTCTCTTGAAATATACCTAAAATGAAAGAGCCCCGCGAAGAAAAGTAGATGCCTCAGAGACTATAAAGTTCAACGGCTAGAGTATAGAGGATAATTTCCTCCGATAAGTTACAAACCAGATACAAATGTATTCATACGTCAGCACGGAAGAATGTGGAATTGGAAGAGTCCCAAAGATTTTTATTTACGAGGACAGATAACACACATGACGCAAGGAAAATTGTGATATTCTTGGCCTACACTAAAGGGCTATATTCCAGTTTGAAGTAAACAAACAAGACAAACAGGAAATGCTATCAAAAATAAAATCATGCAGCTATTCGATTTAGCCAATCAGCTGTCATCATTCACGGTTGTTACAAGTGTTTTTGCGTTTCTTAAACAATGGTTTTTGTTTTAATTCAGAATTAGTGCAATATTCATTTATTTATCCTAATAATTATCATTTCAGATCTCCTACCGATATCATTTTTCAAAATAAGAGTTAATATTTGATCTAGTTTTGTTGTTATTTGTTATAACCTTACGCGTACATTTTCCTTTTTTTAGATTCTGGCCCAGCTGTTTTTTGTATTTGTCGGCCATCATTCCTGTCATTTGGGTCCTTGAACTTGATCTTCTTCAACATAGACTCGATGAACGCGATCAATTGACCGATGTTAACGACTCCAAGCGGATTATTTTGTCCCAAACCAGTTTTGGAAAGGTTAGTATAAGTAAAAATACTTTCCATTCTTTTGGTATCTTGTCCATTAAACAATAAAGAAATGATAGCCTACAGCGCGTGGTCTGAAATGAGAAAAGATTGCGCCCAATCATAAATATTTTAAGCCCCGTTTACACTAGCGATTTTTTTGCGATTTTTTTGCGATTTTGTACATAATAAATAATGGTAAAGAATTTACTTGTAAAGTTTTTTAAAGTTTTTTTTTTTTTGTATTTTGTACATAATAAATAATGGTAAAGAATTTACTTGTAAAGTTTTTTTCAGGATACCAAGATTTTCCTAGAATGTCTCTTTTGAAGGATGAGACAAAAGATTTCATATTTCCGAAAATTGCCACAAAAATTGCAACAAAAATCGCCGCAAAAATCGCCAGTGTAAACGGGGCTTTAGAGGTCTATTACCATGTACCATCAACAACTTGTGGGTTTTTATTCTATCTATTTTGTTATTTCAGTACATACTTAATGCCTCAATTGACACTGAAGTAGCAGCCAAAAAAGTGTGTGAACTAGGAGTTCTCTTGCTTATCATCTTTGGGCGTTGGCTTCTGCCAAGAGGGAAACTAACACGTGACCAGTTGTCTAACTTGTTGTTGGCCTACATCGGACTGGGGGCTGATATCTTAGGTAAGTTTGCACTTTCACTTTACTAGTCTTAGACAAAGCCAAGGTCCCCCGGCCATTGGCGCCGAGGCCTGCCTCGACCTTTCTCAGTGAGCATTCTCAGTGAGTAACCGAGTATGATTTGTTCTAGTCAAGTCTTATCTAATTAAAGCAAGAGGTATATCCATGAATAGACAGACCTCTTTAGCTTGTTGGACGTAATATTTTCTCATTTTACACCACGTGTCATTTCACTCTATAGTCTCAGTTCTTTGTTTAACGGTTGTCTGTGAAAAGGCACTTGAATATGCTTGTGCTCTGAAATGGGAAACATTACGCACAAAAAAAAGTGCTGCCACATATTAGACGAGTTTGCTACATGTTAGGAGAGTTGCTGCATGTTAGACGAGTTGCTGCATGTTAGACGAGTTGCTGCAAATAACGAACTTGCAGCATGTCACTTATGTCACGTTAAGTATGTCATCTCTATCGATAATGTCATTTTTTTCATTTAGATTTGTTCGAGCCGTTGACCCACCCCAACGTCAAGCACAACGTCATTCTGACCTACAGTACATTAGGGTTGTTCACGTGGAGCATGCTGCAGTTTTGTCTTATTGCCATGGCAACGGCTGGTAGTGATGATGTCAGCGAGGCATCATGTCAACAAAAGATGGAGAAGGTACAGTAAGTAGGAGTTGATGTGAAAGACGAATTGCGAGCAAAAAATAGCAAAGTTCTAAATATTTAAAGCAGTATTTATCGGCTACATTCGTACTCCAACTAATTATTTCTAAAGCGAAGAAAAGGAAAAAAAAAAGGATTGGAAACGAAAGCTTAAGTAGGTATAATATTTCGGCCACCCATCCAGTTGCTAACTCTCCTTAAACGGGCTTGACTCAGCATATTGAATGCACACGTTTTTCCCCACTGGGCCACGGTTTCAGGTGAATCAGCATAACAATAGCCGTGAAAACGATACACCAGATAGCCTACACTTTTTAACATTGTATTTTCAACCGATTCCGTGCGTGGCAGAGATGCAAGGGATCAGCCGATATGGTCTGGGGGCCGGCTGGTCTCTCCCCTGATGCTTCGGCTAGAACATTTTCTTGCGTAATTCGTACAACCAAGGGCAGAAGGATTTAATCGCCGTCAGGTCCGAAGTCCATACGCCGCCTCAGCTCTGCGGATGTCTCGGGGGTATGGCACAGTGGAATCGTATTATCTTTTTTAAATTTTTGTCAGTGGATGCACGTTCAAATCCCACAGCATTAAGATGTTGTTGTTTTTTTTTGCAACTAATTCATCTTTTTTTAAATTGTTCATTGGATTCAAACCCTAAACATTAGTCTTTTTATGTAAAAAACCTTACTTGCCTTCTTGTTCATTACGTTTGAAGCATTCACCCGATTCGAAAAGTCGATCTGTGCTTTCCTGGTGTAAAATGCTGCCTGGAAACTTTGTACTGACAATTCCTAACTTACTTCACTTGAAATGGTTTTTCGTATTTTCTTACTATAATTTCTCTTCATATGGTTCTGTGACTGTTTACCTAAAGGGACGTTTCCGAGTCCCCGTGCGACAAACGATTAGTGCCCAGTACCCCCTCGTATCTGTCGCGCCGATCTAGCTCTTTTATCTAGAATATTAATATTAACCACGTTATACGGTGGAATATTTAGCTGTTACTTTTTGCGAGAGATAAGCAGTTTTATCATATGACCCGTATCTGCCCGGGCGCGCGCTCTTAGAAAAACCTTCGAGAAAATGACGTGAGCAGGGCCGTACGGCTTTGAGCGAGCAGGGCCGTACGGATTCGTACGGCCCTGCTCGAATCCGCGCGCTTTCTCTTTTTTAGCTCTTATTTACTATTTCTTTCTTTCTTTTATTTTATTATCTTTCTTTTTGTGAAGGTCGCTGCGCTCGGTCCGTACGGTATCAACTCGAGCCAAATATTTTCCCGTACGGCCCTCCCACTCAGTAAATAATTACATAATATTCACAGCGCAATTTCTCTTGAAACTTGTTTCGCGACCAAACTTTCATTTGCAAGAGTTGATTGACGCTTTGGCTTTTTTTTTTGAACTTTATAGAAAACCGCAAAAGATATTGCATACTTAGAGTCGGGTCAACCAAAAAACGAGCCAAACAAACGACCAGACGATGTGGAATCCATCTCAAGTGCATCATCAGTTCACGAAAAACAAAGTGATGACGAATCTGTAGCAAGTACCGAAGGTTCCATAGCAACACACGGTTCAAACGAACCTCAAGATAAAGACCCCTATGATCACCCCAAAACGACACCCAGTATCATGTCAGCAGATCTCGTGTCAATACTCTGCTCTCTCTTAATGCATGACGGTCCTTTCTTGGTCTTTCGTCTTGTACTAGTGGGCATGTACCAGGTGACAAGCGAGATTCATCTGTTTTTCACGGCTAAGAACGTGCTGACGGTTGTTATCATGCTGTACAGGCTGTACCATCTCCACGTCTCGCGGGTCGCTACCGTTGACCAAGGGGACCAGGATCGACGCAGAAACTCCAAAACGGCTGCAGCTTGATCAGCTGGGTCTACGTCTTATTGCACACCCATACTGGACATGTAACCATAAACATTGCAATATATAGCTATTTCCAAAAAAACGTTTGGCGATAGTTTTGTTGAAATAGCAGTATTAATATTTGACATCTTGTTTCTAATGCATCGAATGATATTCAAAAGTTATAATTCTGTTTTTAATACTTCTTGGTTGTAACTGAACTGTCCTTGGACGACATCCAGTCTTATGGATTGATGATCTATAACATGCGAAAAAATGAGAAGCACACTTACATGATAGATAAATTTTCATGCAGCTATACATATTTGAGTAATAAATAATACTACGCATCCCATCTAATCGAACTTTTTAGAAATAGTTTATACAACTATCTTGTGAGTTTATTTACAAGAACATTTCCTTATTCCGCTAGTAGAGATCTCTTCCTAGTCATAGTCTTCAACGGAGGCTACACCACCTTTATCAGGGGGAATATAGCCTGGGCGTTAAGAGTTTACTTGACACGCAGTCATTCTATTTACAAAGGTATGTTTTTTTTGGAGGGGGGGGGGGGGGGGGGGGGAGCAATTCTTGTGTAAACAATGCCGAAAAATCTCCAGCTTCAGTCTTTGGACCTTAGTTTGAAATCATCAATGGAGAAACATTCCCATAAGTCACGTGATCCTTTCCCGCCATTGTTGCTAGATGGTAATGGCAACTGGTCTTATTTACCAACCAAAACTCCATTAGGTCATGTGACGACAAAGCTGTTTCCATGGGAATTAGTGGTGACGTTATCACGTGAGTGTCCGGTTAAGATCACGTGAGTACAGTAGTTTTACTTGCTGTTTTTTTTCTTGTAAGGACGTTTGATATTTTTCTTCTGCGCAGCGCTTTGCGCTATTCTTCGTTTGAGCGATGCTTGCTGTTCGACTAACTGAGCGAGGTGGCCTTGTTGAGCGAGCATCGTAAGAAACGCGCAGACAAAAGGGTCGTAGTTGTGGGTACGACGACAGTGGTCAACCTGAAAAAAACATAAGATATAATAAGTACGAACAGACAGGTGGACCTGTGGAAGGACGGACATACAAATCAACGATAGTGATCAACCTCATTCTTGTACTCAGACCCTTCTCACCAAAAAAACGATTTTTCGTTAGAAAGCTGAGAAGGCTTTGGGACATATGAGAATGTGATCAACCTGAGATAAACACAAGATAAGATAAGTACAGACAGACAGATGGAGCTATGGAAGGACAGAAAGACAAATCGACTGGCCGACTTATGGAAGGACGGACGGATAAACAGATCGACCGGTCGACTTATGGAGGAGCGGACAGACAGATTGACCGGTCGACTTATGGATGCACGGACAGACAGATAGACCGACCTGCTGACCTACGGAAGGACAGACAGACAGACAGACCTATCTCGCAGAGACTGAATTGACTAACAAACAGACCTATGGACACAATATAGACCGTCGGTCCGCAAGACTGATAAAAGAATAGACAGGCACCTCAGTAATTACGCTCAGATTGGAGGAAAGGGACCGATAGACTATTAGCAGACCTACAGACAGACACTAAGGCCCTGGCTAAACGAGGAAACAAGTTTCCAGAAACATGTTTCCCGCGCACATGTTCCCCGATGATTCCAAGTTTAGCCACATGCGAAACATTGCTACGTGCAACAAATTTTGCTTCCAAGACGCAAAAATGTTTCTGCTGTGCGGCAGAAACATTTCATGCTTCCAAGACGCATGGAAACAATGTTTCCCAATGTTTCCTCGTTCAGCCACGAAAGTCAACATTCTAAAAGTTCGTTACTTAGCAACGCTAGCTCTATCTTGAAAGTGCGCATGCGCTAACCGATATTGAGTAAACATGTTTCCCGATGTTCCCTGGCAGTTTTGCCCCCATTGGAAACATTTAAGAAAACATGTTTCTGGAAACATGTTTCCTCGTTTAGCCACGGCCTAAATAGACAAACTGATGGACACATCAGGAAAGACGAGTGGAATAAAAARAAAACAAAAATTGAAGTGACTTACATAGTATTTCTTCCGTTTTTCAGTTTCTTCTTTTTTACCAGTTTCACAATTGGTAATTTCTCTTTCCACTTCATGTAGTTGCATCGCAAGAGCCTGAATAAAATTCCAGTCATTAGTATAGGCGTTCTCAGTTTAGACAGCTATTGTTGTCAGAGGAGGTTGAAGGAAAGACACATGGACTGCCCTAACAAAATTAACAACCATTCCTCACAAATTGCACACATTTGCAGGTACCGTAGACCTCAGTAGGTCACTAAGTTATACAATTTTGTTAGTTAACTTTTTCACCGATATATGGTACGCACTCTACTGTACCAATAGCCCTAACTATTTGGCTGTGTAAAGTTGGATGTCCTCTCTAGATTCCTTGAGCCTTCCTCCCCCCCCCCCCCCCCCCACTCTGAACAATGATCAAGTACGTCCTAATATCGCCTATCTTTTGATGAATCCATTCTTTTATCAATATCTTTCCACACCTTTGCTTCATTTGAGTGACTGGATAATTCTTTTAACTCTGCTACAAGTTTCTGCATCGGATTTTCTTCAGGTTTTTCTTCCTTTTCCGCTTCTTTCTCCTGATTTTCTTTCTCTGTAAAGAAATGTTCGCGTCGTTAGCTTCAGGGTCAACATATCAATAACAGTGGCACCTGAGTTTTGGGACCCGATTTAGTGAGTGACATAGCAGCCCCATGCCACTACGGCTATTCTAATCCATTATCAATGATGACTACCTTTGTGTGTCATTGTCGAGCTCTTTTTAACGTCTTGGGGCAAACCAAATAATTCATCCAAGTCATCATAACAGGTCTCTTCGTAGTCTTTCTGGTCCTCTGATGGAGCTGATTCTGTAGTTTCCTGGAAAATAATAAGAGTATAAATACATCTTACAATCCACTGAGAAGGCACATGACTATCTTTCTATAGTCTTCTTCTGATTGGGCATAATGTTTTGAACATTTTAGAAAACTTTATGCCCAAGAAAACTTTAGAGGACTATTACTAAGGTCACTCAAGGACCAAGCCAAGACAAACAGCAATCCTAAAATTGTGTTTATGTGAGTTTTGGGGGAGGTGTGGGATGAGGGAGTGATTTAGAAATATAGGAGACTAGTATGTATTAGACTATATATTGGTGGGGTGGCCGAGATTTTTTAGTGGATGTTAGCAATTATTAGAGACTAAAGCCCTCCATCCACTCTCTAGTCCTTATCAATAAGTGATTATGTAATAGAGGCTTTGCACCATCACATTTGATTAGACAAGATTTAATATTGTTTCTACCTCCTGTTATCACTGCCATGACGTGATGGAGCAAAGCCTCTATTCAGGTCCATAGGGTCATTCAGGTCCTTATTTCTCAATTGACACAGTTTTCTTCGTTATTCACAAGGCTTTATTTTTATTATAACCCTCATTATGAATGCAAGGTCAATATATGACCCGGTTAATAACTATATATAGACTTTGCATTTATAATGAGCAATATTTGATAGAAAACCTTCTCAATTGATAAATAAAATACTTAATTACCTCGAATGTCGGCAATAAGCCATATACATCCCGAGGGCCACGGGTAATTAACTCTTACATAGGGTCACTTTGGTCTATAGGGTCATTAAGGTTCATAGGGACATTCAGGTCTATAGGGTCATTCAAGTCCATAGGGTCATTCAAGTCTATAGGGTCATTCAGGACTATAGGGTCATTCAAGTCCATAGGGTGATTCAGGTCTATAGGGTCATTCAAGTCCATAGGCTAATTCAAGTCCATAGGGTCATTCAGGTCTATAGGGTCATTCAGGTCTATAGGGTCATTCAGGTCTATAGGGTCATTCAAGTCCATAGGCTTATTCAAGTCCATAGGGACATTCAGGTCTATAGGGTCATTCAAGTCCATAGGCTCATTCAAGTCCATAGGGTCATTCAAGTCCATAGGGTCGTTCAGGTCTATAGGGACATTCTGGTCTATAGGGTCATTCAGGTCCATAGGGTCATTCAAGTCCATAGGGTTATTCAGGTCTATAGCAACATTTAGGTCCATAGGGAATTCAGGTCTATAGAAATCTACAATACTTACTCCATTGTCCTCATTGTCTGACACCACTTCAATAGGTGACTCTCGACTGTTGTTCATTAAATCGATACTTGAACTGCTAGTCTTGGAGTTTGTATTGGAGGAACTGGTTTGGGGGCTGGTGCCTCTGTCTCCAGAAATACTTGAAGTCAGAGAGTTTTGTGTTGGCATAGAAACTGTTGCTATGGGAACACTTGGTGTCGAAGTTGTTGTAAATGAGTTTATAGTGTTGACTGTGGATGGAGAAGCTTGATATAAAGAAGTTGATGTCATTGGTGTTGATACAGCTGTAGATAGTGCTGTAGGTGTTTGGAGTAGAAGTGTCTGTCCAGCTGGAGGTGGTGGCATTAAATTCCCTGCATTATTTGGCTGATATTGTTGTGGTGTTGTTTCTGTGGAAGCTGTTTTCTCATTTGAATCTACTTGAGACTTGTCTTTAGGTAGTTGGCTGTTTTCAACAAGCTGTGAGAGCAAAATAGAAAATGCTTAAGGACAAGGTTGCTGCTACTGCAAACCTCTGTGCTGATTGAAGATTGATTCAATTTAAGTCCGGGTACAGCTGACAGAGTGAAATGGAACATGTTGGCTTATGTCGAGAAAGAAACCAATAAACCAGTAGAAAAAGCCTAAAATCAATATTGCAAGGAGCATGAGACCCAACAAACTCTACTCACAAGTCTAGTACCCCATTCACACCTAAACATGTTTAGTTAAACTGTGTTTTCATATAGCAAAAAATTAAGAAACTAGAAACCTACAAATATAATGAAACTTTCTAAAATATTATCAGACCAAGACAAAGGATAGCTTATTTGCATTATTTCACCAAATACTGTGCAATGTTCGTAGATAGTTTTTAAAACCTGTTTAGTCAAACCACTTTAAAACATGTTTAAGCCTTGGTGTGAATGGGGTATAGGAATTAAACCTGAGATCCCAGAATTGTACTAATGTTACACGTTGATTCTCTACTTAGTAAAGTAAAGAATTAGAAATCATAATTTCTTTATGACACTTACTGTTTTAGCTTTCTCTAGGATCATTTCTCTGAAAAATAAAGAATAGAAAACTGAGTATGACTTGTGATACCCCTAGACCAGTGTCAGTTTTCCAACCTATTCTAGATTCATGCATTAACTCTTACACATACCTGTCAACATTGAGTTTCTCCAGCCTTTCTTCGAAACCCATGATTCTATCAGCAACAACAGCCATTAAATTGTATCGAATGTCATGGAATGGCTCCCTGTTATAGCAAGATACAAACACATTTGACAATGACACACACTCAAGCTTATGATAGCCTTAATAAACAAGTCAAAGCAAAAACTATTTATTAACTAATGTGAATGAAGAAAATTCTACAAAATTCTCCTTATGACAATGGAATCTGTTAACACTCTCTCATTGCTACTACCTGTAGTTGATCAAAACAACATTCACAACAGGAAAATTAGGGCTTAAAATATAGGCCGGACATGTCCCCCCAGAATTGGAACTTGTCCAGTCAAATCTTTGCTAGGCAGGTCATTTTGACCAGTAACATTGAGCCAGAAAAGAGGTACAGGTATGACTGAGCTAAAACTAATTCGGCCCATCATCATAACCAGTGACTTACTGGCCATTATCTTAAGCCCTGGAAATTATGCATTAGGCTACCGTCAGTATATCATATCTGATGGACAGTAGCCTGTTGCCCATTTACCTGTGGTGACTTTAGTACTGATCAGTGAATAGCAATGAAAACAGTGACAAAAAATCGTTTCTTGAATACAACACAAGAATGATTGTAATATTTTTATTACCCTCCAGTTGCAATCCCAAGTCTTTCCGTAATCACTCTACGGAATTTCTCAGTCCAGTCTTCATGCTCACCCCATGGACCTAAGGGCAACAAAAATTAGAGTTGAATTATGTTCTTAGAAAATCATAGACTATAAATTGGGTTTCATAAAATGACAGGTCTCACACCAAGGATTATATCAGAATAAATGTCCAGGAATCAAATCAGAGACCCAAGGGGTGGGAGGTGAGTGCAACACTGCTACACCACCCTTGATAGACTTCTATACATTGGACAACTTTCTTATTTCATACCACACATCATTTTCTTGAGACTAAATTCTATCCATATTCATGTGTATTTTCATGTGCAACAACTAAACAAAGAAATGATACTATAACAAATGAAACATGGTCTGAAATGGGAAAGCATTACACCCAAGGTACAAAGTACTTGTCGATCTATCCTATTGTTAAACGAGTGTAAGTATATCTTATTTTAACATAAAAATGCAATAAAATACAAAAAACAAAAACAAAAAAAAAAATTACACCCAAGGTAAAGATCTATTCCATAGCAATTGTCAAGCAATCGGAGAGTGTGTACTGTTAGCAGTATGTTAAACATTATCTTTAAACAAAAATAAAAAAGCTAAAAAGGTCTATTCCCCAGCCATAGTTAAACAATCAGAGTGTGTGTACTATATACTGTGAGTAATAAGTCAAATATTCTCCATATTCTTACCATGATCAATAGGATATGGTTTGAGTCCATCAAGTTCAAATAGACGGCCCTTGATTGGAACATAACTAACAAAGTGAAAAGCCTCCATGGCTCTTACAGATGATAGAGAATTGGTTTTCTCTGGTAACTGCTTGGCTTCTGGCCTGGATAAAGAGTAAAAAATATTACAACAGGGAAAAAAATAAAGCACTTATATTCACTGGCAGACCCTCATAGGCTCTCCAAGATTCAATTGCTACAAACTTTTACCTTGCTGTGAATAAAAGAAATAAATGCATACCTTGCAAATTTGTTGTGAGTCATAGCCAACTCAGGAAGGTTTCCAATGACATAACCTTTGTTCTGTAAAAAGAAAATTGAAATACCATTATATTATATTACATTATAAAAAAATCAACATGTGAGTTGAGCGTTGTGTGCATAGAACATTTAATGTAGTGGTAGTGCATGTGAGCGAAAAGTGTCCCCAATTAGTGTGAAAGCGCTAGAACGACTAGACACTTAAAATAAAATAAAACAAAAGTGATTTATTTATTTTAATTATGTATAGCATGTTCGTTTCTGCAGAGCAAAAATGGAGCCTTTTTGAACATTTACAAAAATGTTCAAAGGATTTAGCGCCACTTATTAGTAGGCTACTCATGGCCAGATAATAGTTTTACATAAAAATGAAGCTGTGAAAATTGTTACCTCTGGGTTGAAATTCTTTGAAAATTCCTTGAGTTTACTGACAGTATCACCAAGGTCAACATGAGGACAGTTAAGAAGGACACTCAAAAGAGCATGTGTGGCACAAGAATTAGGAATGACCTGAAGCAAAACATATATGTACAATTATAAACGAGTTTTTTAATGAACAGAAAATGTTTTCCATGTTTACATATAGAGTATATAGCTGAATATGAACATGAGGGATATTGGGAGAAAATAAGAGCTGGAGTGTGAAACATATAGATGACATTTTACACAGAACTCTTCCTAACTTTTCCAGAGTGCACACAAGAATCTAAACCTTAGGAATCCCAAAAATAACCAAAGAATCCCTATTGGATTTGCTGCCAGGGTAAACTACTTCCATTCAAGTCTAGAATTACTTTGATGATATCGATTGTACAGCTGTACAGTAGTTCTAAATCTCTCAACAGTGTTTGAAATTACTGTCAGACTGCAGTTCCTTTATTTGTAGTTCAATTGCTTTCAATGGAAGATGACAACATGCACTTTGTTACCTCTCCTATCTGAACAATTATTGAAGTTACTATGGTTTTCCATATTTTATGAACTCAGAAATTTAAACAGCCTGTTGTGAAATTGGTTTTTTACTGCCGCCAGACAAGACCATAAAAGGTACTGACTGATTATTTTTGATTGATGGTAGCAAAAAATCATATTTCAGCATGCTGCTTGTATTAGAAATAGAAATTAATATACCTGCTGAGCAAAGAAGATATCATTGACAATATCTTGATCTTCAACAAAAGATTCATCTAATGGCTGGATCTTACGTCTGGACCTTCTTTCTTCAATCCATTTGAATAGAAAAATAAACCCATAAACTGTCCTGGAACAAAAATAATGATACAAACCATTAATATACTATATATTCCCTATGTATGTTGCTGTGTTTGATATAAAAAATAATTAAGACAGCAATAACAGGTCCAGATATCATACGTACAGTAGGTGTACTCCCCACCCCCTCCCCACACATATTTTTTTGTTATCAAAAAAAATAAAATAATAGAAATCTTTTCCATTTTCTCACCCTTTCATTGGCTTAGATAGATCATAGATTTCTTCTACTTGTGCTCCTTTCACTCCTGCAATATAACACTTGAATAATTGACTTTGCACCACAGGCAACCCAAACATAACAACAACTACCCTTGATAACTAGTTAAGTTCTATTTCCTGTAGCTTATCACAGATCGAGGTAGTCAAACATTTGGTCAAAATAATATTAGACCTTCATAATATAATGCAATCCGATCTAATTAGGATCATATCTCGTTTAATAGACTTTAGACTTTCTAAGCATCGGTGGTCCATGAGGTTACGTTATATAAGCGTCTCTACTAAACGATAAGGTTTCTGAGCTAACGGCCATCAAAACTGAATCCCTAGTGTATTTATAACATTTCAGTTCACTAGTAAATGGGTTTTAGAACTCAGATACTTCCAAACAATATCATAAAATCAATATTCTTGAGCTGAGAATGGCAACATGTGACATCAAAACATCAACAGCGTCTTACCAAACTCCTCGATCAGCAGCGTAAAAATACCTGCAAACACATCAACCAATACGTATTAAACCAAGGTAAACTATCTATCTATACAAAGAAGTCATCAATAGAGTATAAAGCTACCTGGATCGCTCTCTAGTTCCCGCCATTCATTCCATTGATTCATGGTTGGCGCTTCTTCTTCAACTGGACAAATTCGTGACAGTAATATCGAAATCTTAGTAAAAACCTACTGACGCATGCGCAGTATTCACTATCATCCAAGATGGCGGACGAAGGGGAAACTTTGAGTGTAAATACTTTGTGTTATTTTTGAGTGTTTTTAGATTAACTTGACGTGAAGAATCTATATTCAGTGAAAATTTGTCTTTTGTAATTAACGTTCTTACTCATCATTAAGGTTTAGATAATGTACTTGAATTTGTTTTGTGAAAATTTTTCTCTTTCTTTTTATCCAAATTGTCAGAATTTTTTTTCAGTTTTTGGTCATTTTCTCTTTCCCTTTGTAAATATATTCAAGCGAGATTCTTTAGTTATTTTTGGACTAAGAAAAGATATGCTTTAAGTCTAGTTTTGTCATAATAATTGTCTTTTTAGGGTAATTTAAATCATGTTTTCATGAAGTTATCTTTTTGTGTTATACTTGTTTTAGGCTCAGGAGCTTAGGAAGATTCTTGACATCTTACCAGAAAGGCAAGCGAAAGTAGATGCACTGTTGGGACATAACTTTGGAACAACTCCACCAAAACAGAAGGTAGGCTTCTAATTATCTTGATTATAAGTCAGTTTATGTATACACTGATCAACACTTTATATTTGGTTTCCTGTAGACATTGATTTCAAAAACTATTGTTATTTTGAAACCTAAATCATCTTTTTAAGTAATTTATTTATTTTTAAAGGATACCTACAAATCTCCCTTGAAGGGAGGTTGGAATTTGTAAGGGTGGGGATGGATGCAATAATTTCTAAAGGGGTGGGGAGGGTTAGACACAGTGGGCATGTACAATAGATTAATACTGTATGACAAAATCATTCATTGAAAAGTCTTGTTAAATTCAAACAAGATAGCAGCTATCTTACACAGTGGACATGTGTAAATGAAGAATGTAGTTGTAACTATAGTTTTTCTTTCTTTCTTTCTTTTTTTTGGAATTATTTAGGAGGAAAAAGTAAAGAAAGAAATTTCAGTATACTGCATATGTAGACAATCTTATACAAACTGCTTTATGATGTAAGTGCTTGGAATACTTCTTTTTAGAGTTCTGTTCAGTTAATAGTAGTTCCAATGAGTCAAGGTTGGAGTTGCTGTGCATACTAGATGTGTGGCAACTCAAACCTTGACTTGGAACTTTTATATGTGGAGCATTCTGCAATAATTATAACACATGTACTACACTTGTTTATCAATGATTTAAACCTTTTGCAAGAGTCACTTGACTTTTACTAATCCAAACACAAATATTGCTTTTCACTACCAGTAATTCACCTTTTCGGTGCTAGCTGTCATGGGTATAAAACGTTTTAGATTGTGTTACGGTCACCAAAACTGACCGTACTGACTCTAAATGAACTATTTACTTGGTTAATGTTAAGTAAATGATCATTTTTCTAGCTTGATTGAAGCTTGTCTTACTGCTGTTAAGATAGCTAACTAAAGAAATCTACCTAAATTTTCTCTTTAAAGTCAGTGAATTTGTATGGAACTCTGAGAACGGTGTCCAAACTTTTTGGTGACCATAACACAATCCAGGCTAGCACCGAAAAGGTGAATTAACTTAGCCTCCTTATTGACCCAATGAGGAAGCAACAAGGAACAAACCAACAACCAAAAAAAAATTATAAGGTGACTCCCTTCCTATGCTTTCTTTGGGAACCTTGTGTGATAAAGCAGGGAGCAGGGTGCCTTTATTTAATGGTTAACATTAATTATACTAATGATATCACTTCAGATGTTGTGACAAGTGTGATGAATGGTTTCATGGTGATTGTATTGGTATAACTAAAGATGAAGCTCAGATGATCAAGCACTTCTACTGTAAACCATGTCTAGGTATGATACCATATCAAGAGAACAAATTGTAAAAGTCCATGAGAAAAAGCTCAGTGACAGTATTGAGTAAGAATGGACCAATCACCCTTCTCAAAGAGAACTTGGATGTGAGGCTAGCATGAAAATGCAAAAGAGATCAAACTTTTCTTGATGAAATATGTGGCATTTCTTTGTATTTCTTTTTTTCTATTTTCTATTTTTTTTCTTTTTTTCTATTTTGCATTTAAGGAGCTGGCTTTGAAAACTTTTGTTACTTCAGCTCCCCARCACCTCATAATTATTTTTTCTCGCCATCTATATTTTTACTTTCTTTATTAGTTGAAACTTGTTAATTTATCATCTATTTTGTTATTGTAAAGTATATATCATGAGTGCAAATAAAGAAAGAATATATTTCGGCGTTAGTTTTGCATTTAAGACAATTTTGAGAGGGGTCCATTTAAACTTGAGAAATTTATATGAATTGTTGTCATTTAATTGTATTTTTATCTTAAAGATTTTATGTTTGTGTGATACATGTAATTTTTTTTCCGGATAAGTTTATTAACAAATGATATTATTTTTTCTTCATAGAAGCCAACCCAGATCTTTCAATCAAGTATAAGAAGAAGAAAATAAAGCTGAAAACAGAAGAAGGCACGGAAGAAGAAAGTGTGAAGGAAATAGAAGTGGATGTAGATGATGAAATGCTTGCCGAAAAGACACATGACTCAGAAAGAAATAAAGCAAGTTTATTATAGTCTCCACCCACCCATGCAACCATCCAAACATGTTCCAGGCCATCTCATCCCATTTCATCCCATTTCATTTATTATTGGTTCCTTTCTGTATTTTTAATTATTTATTGCATATGATCACATATATTCATTCATTCATTCATTCATTCATTCATATTCATTCATTAGTTGGTTCTGCCGTTTGTTCGTTCGTCCGTTCGTTTGTTTTTTCGTCCATTCCTTCCTTCGTTTGTTCGTTCATTTGTTCTTTTGTTCGTTCATTCATTTATTCTTTCATTCGTTCATTCATTCATTTGTTTATTCATTCATTCATTCATTCATTAAATTGTTTATTCATTCATCCTTCCATCCATCCCTGCCTCCCATCCATCTATCCATCTATTTACCCCATCTATCCATTCATCCCATTCATTCATCCATCCATCCATTAAACCATCCCTCCCATCCATCTATTCATCTTATCTATCCATTCATCCATACTGTAGACGTATTCATCTACATGTACATATATCCATTCATTTCCTTTGTTTATAAATTGTTATCTTGTATGATTGTTATATTTTTTTAGAAAACCCAGCTCAAGAGGTCATCAAGAATGTGTGGTGAATGTGAGTCTTGCCTCAGAACCGTTGATTGTGGGAAATGTGATTTTTGCAAGGTACTGTAATCCCCGTCAGACCAACCATAAAAGCCCATAAAAGTTAATTATAATTATTTTATAACTTCTATTTATTTTGACAAAACCTTAGGACATGAGAAAGTTTGGTGGGCCAAACAGGATGAGACAAAAATGTAGACTGCGACAGTGTCTTAAAATGTCAAGGGTAAGCACCTGTTTTAATAATTCAAAATTTTTTCGTTAAGTTTAAAAATGTTATAGGAGCAGTCAGGCATTCTGAAATAAATCAAATAGAGGTCGTTTCTGACTGACTTTCTGACTTAAAATATGGACGTTTCAGCTTCACAACTGATGCCTTCATCAGCAAGATAGATTATGCATACTGGTAATGGTGTCCAAAAGCTATTTCTTACCAGTCAAAGCTTTGTTAACAAGTGTGTGTGTTTGTGTGGGGGAGGGGGGGGGNGGGGGGGGGATTGGGGGATGAGGCTAATTTTTTGAAAGATCTATTATGTATTCTAGCATTTAATTGTTTTAATTTTGCTAACAGATAATCTTGAGAAAAACAAAAGGTTCAAAAGCAGAGGATTCATCAGAGAAACGTGAATATATCAAGCACAAAGAAAGAGTGAGTTACTGTGGCACACTGTGTACACTATAAAAATTATTTTATTCTTTAATGCAATGTTACAGTATTTATTTTCTTAACAAACTTTCTTGCAAACTTTATCACGAATTTTCATCAAAATTTCTCAAAACCTCTCTTTTTCTATGCTGTTTTTATACAGAAGTTACTGTAGAATTACAATCTTGAGCTCTCTCAAAATTTGTGTTTTGGGACCCCAGGAGTGTGATGTCTTGTTTGCCAACTAGCATAAATTCAACGACCTTCAATCAAAGAATTGCAATAAAAAAAACCCAATATCTTGAGAGAGATTTTGGGCTGAATTGAAGATCTTAGAGGATTAGAGAATTAAAATCTTTTTTGTGTTATTTTACATAGAAGGAGAAGAGAGATGTGGTTAAGCATCAAAAAAAGGCTGTCAAGATGAAACATGCTACTCCTGCCCGTAAATTACATGTAAGTGTTTAACCAAAACTCCACAAATGTAGTAAGTTATAATAATAATTGTAGTGTGATGGCTTGGACAGTCTGCTATTGTAGAACATTAGTGTATACTAAGCTTTTGTTTATGACTACAGGCAAAAGTTAAGCCAACATCTCATGAACATCCAAAAAGAAACCCAAGAAGACGTTACAGAATAGGATCAGGGGATGATAAGAAAGGCTCTGGTGATCAGTCCAAGGATATGGAGCAGGATGAAGTCCCTAGGCATTGTTATGGCCCTGGTTGTACTAATGCAGCAACACCCAACTCAAAGTACTGCAGTGATGAATGTGGGATACAACTGGCTGTAAGGTAAGTATAAATGAAAAATTGTCCTTGATAGCAAATTTTTTATATGTGCATAGGTATGTATCATAGCACCATGGGCCTTATATTAGATAGTGGATAAGGTGCACTGTGTTCTAGCTTCAATNATAGGTATGTATCATAGCACCATGGGCCTTATATTAGATAGTGGATAAGGTGCACTGTGTTCTAGCTTCAATTCGATACCATAAATGTTTTTTTCCTTCAGGCGTATCCAGGAAATATTACCCAAGAGAATGCAACAGTGGAACAGAGAGCCAAGTTTAGCAGATCAGAATGCAAAACATTTATTAGGAGGCTTGGAAAAGAAGAAAGAAGTATGATTGAACTTTTGTTCTTGATATATCAAATATTGAAATCTCCTTCCCCTTGATGCTAAGCCAGACGGAAGTTGGATGGTAGTTGACCATGAATAGCTGACCAGTCAACATTGCTCAACCAACCAACTCTTGGTTTTCCAAAAACAGACCATTGACCAAGTTTGATAATGATCAATGAACACCATTGAAGATTAACAAATGATTGACCATGGTTGTTAATGACTGATTGATCTCTTGCTTCATCAAAAATCTGTTACAATGGTCTACAATTTACTCTGACTTAGGGAGTTTTGAATATCTTAAGGGTTGGAAGAATCTCTGGGGAGGGGGCTATATAGAGGGTTACTAGATTAGGTAAACATGTAGATTAAGAATATGCTACAGTTGTATCTAAAAGTGCTTTGCTTGGTTCAACAGCAAGCCCAAAACAGACTCCTTGAACTTGATAGATTAAGTCAAGAATTAGAAAAAATGATAGAAAGAGGAAGCCAGATAACCACACAAGAAAAAGAGGTGAGAGAAATCACTGACATATTTTATGTTTCTTTGGGCTACCAGTGGAATAAATCCAAAGGTAAACCCCATTTCAAAAACTGATTTTGGTCTCTGGTTGGCTTTCAGAAACAAGAGGTTGATATGGATACGGATACTGACCTTCAGATTCACTGTGTCACCTGTGGTTTGCCATTAGCTCCAAGAGTAGCTCTGAGACACATGGAGAAATGCTACATGAAGGTACTATTGAAACACTGTTGAAACTGCTCTCTCTTGATGTTTAGGGTGCGATCGTTTATTACGTCATAGTTGGGGGGNGAATTGGGGAAAAAAGAAAAAGGTAAAATTCGTATCCCCTATAATATCTTTCAATAAAAAACATGCTACCTTTTACATCATCCTATAAAAAAATGTAGCTCAAGTTAAAAGTCAGTTGTAACATAGCATGAAAAACCTAAAATCGGAACCTGTTCTCCCCATACTTTGCAATAACAAGAAAAATGTACCACCAAATTTCAACTGATTTTGAAAATTGTACCCCCCCTGCAAATCCACTGACTCCCCCCCCCCCCCACACACACACACATGTAATAAACAATAAGTATCTAATGTTTACAATCTTTATGACCATGTGATTTTATTTCATTTCAAAGAATGAGAGTCTAACTACTTTTGGATCTGCCTACAAGAGTGCAGGGTAGGTACTCAGTTTGCTTAGTTGTAATGTTTTCCCATTCATACCATAACTCTTGAGAATAAGATACTTTCTATAAATTGTATCCATATTTGTGTATCTTTTTATGTACAACTAATATCAATAATACAATTATTATAACAAATTTTGCTATATTTTCTTAATTCAGAAACCTGTTCTGTGACTTTTACAATGCACAACTAGGAATATACTGTAAAAGACTGAGAGTACTGTGTCCAGAGCATACCAAAGAGCCAAAAGTAAGAATAATGTTTATTTAGAAAGCTTCTTCACCTTTTAGAGTTTCCTTAGAGGGGGAATAGGATGGGAAGGGGTTCTGCAAAAATCAAATTCTAATTCAATCTAGAATTCGGGCCTAGATGAAAATTACTCTGAGTAAAAATAGTTACCCTATTGTTAACCAAATTGTGTAATTTCTACACAGGCCAGGTCTTATAGTAATAAATGATTGTTACACTAGCTTGTTTTATTTGGTAGGTCCCACCTAATGCTGTATGTGGCTGCCCACTAGTAAAAAATGTTTTTGAAGAAACTAGTAAAATCTGTCTTGCCCTAAAAAGATCATGTATGAGACACTATCGCTGGGAAAAACTACGGCGAGCTGAGATAGACTTACAGAAAGTGCAACAGGTAAGTCACACCCCTCCCTCCTAGAAGGGATTGAACAGCCCAGCAGGAAAAAATAATTTCTTTGAAGGCATAGGGTGGGTCGGGGCACAAAAGTGGCAACATTTTATGATATAAGTAGAAAACTCAAGACCCTGCCCCACCCCCCCCCCCCCATCCAGTAAAACACCACCACCCTAAGCATGTATTGCAGATAATTAAGTTATGGGGTGGGGGGGTGGGGGTAGAATCATGTAGGAGGTTTGGGGGAGGGAATGAACACTTTGCAATATCCAACATAAAGTCCCCATTAAAGCAGCCTTACTTTATTTCCTAAATAATGAGCAAAGTGATTGAAGTAGTGTTTTAAAATTGCAGTGGTTAAAATTAGAAGAAGTCTATGAACAACAGAGACAAATCACTAATTCGTCAGACCGCAGAGGTGGAGTGTTGGCCCTCCTGCTTCACCAGACTCTCTCTCCTGACTGGGTGGAAGAGGAAAATGAGAAGGAATCAGAGCATGAAATAGACATGGAAAACCAACATGACCTTGAAACTTCACCAGACAATAATGAAAATATTCTGGATGATGAATCGACAATAAACAGTCATACAGAAACTCATGATTCAAATTCTTGTCTGATGGATGTCAATTCATAGTCAGTTATCAAAGAATGATGCCATAGAGCAGCCAAGAGTAGGGGTTGGGGGCTTGCCTTCCATTTGAGGTCATCTACTTTTCCCAGTCTTTTTGGTTCTTCTGGTAAATGTGTGCACAATTTGTTGGAAGTCAAAGTTTCCTGCTCTTTAATTTCTTATTAGCAATCGAATTTCCAACCAGATTGATTGGTTAAATGGTAAGCACACCTGAAGTCCTATTTTGTAGATACATGTAGTACTTGTATGATATATGAAGTTTTGACACGACTTAAATTATTTAATATATAGATATCCTTGTACAGCAGAAATGTATATTTTTATCTGTATTAGATTTATTTTGATGCTTGTAAAGGTTTGTAAAGTACAGTTTAGACATTAAAAGGCCTAGTAACTTGTTAAACAACAGATTGGTGATTTTTATTTTTTACCATGATATGTGACTCAACGTACAAATCTACTGACTGTTTTATAATACTCCGGTTTTACAAAGTCTTTCATTTCTTCCCTCGTAACCCATGCATAGTTTTGATATTCAGTTCCTAAATTGATTGTACCTCCGAGAAAACATGCCTTGTAGAAGAATACCTGAAAGAAACCGAGCCTTATTGTGAGCTACAGATATTATTCTTAAGCAGTGAAATCTACCTAGGGATGTAAAGTAATGGCAATTCACCTTATTAGTAGTTCGGGTTTCTTGATGTGGTATTTTTACAACACCAGCTGGAGCATTGGTTATGTATTTCACATTTATCTCTGATCCACAAACCTCTTTTAGTCTTCTTTCAGCAGCCTAGAATGATTGAAATGTTTTAAATAGGACGTAAAGAAACCCTGGCAGTGACCACCCTCAGTGCCTACACCTCATACTAACCATCTCTCATTCATAAATCATTGTAAAGCTCCTTTGATCACATCCATATCATAAATATCATAATTATCAATCATCATCAAATAGATACAAGAAAATAAACAACTCCACCCTTATCTCACTGGACCGACCTAAAGCCAGTGCAAGATATTCTGTTTATCCACTCCAATGCTTGCACTAAGCAATATACATGCCATGAGCATATCCAGTTGATTTGAAAAGGGTGACTTAGAAATGATGTCACTGCAAAAGTGAGGTGTCATGAAGGCTGCAAAAATTGACCAGCAAAAAATAAAAAAACATGCCTGTCATTCTAATAAAAATATAAAATTCTATTTGGGAGCCTTAAAATCCAAATTTCATGAGGAAAATGGACACCTCACTTATTGCAAATTTTCTCGATTTTTATTGGCTAATATTTTTTCTCAGATAAGCTGGATGAAGCTTAGAAAATATATTTCGCCTAATATGTATTTGTACAATAGTACCTGTCGTAATGTTTCTTTTTCTTGTACATTGCTCTGAGGCATTTCCCATTGGGCATCTGGAGTCTTGAGTAGAAGTATTAAAGTATTCTGAAGCTTGCGATGTGAGCTCTTGAGGTCATTATTTTTATCAGCATCTGTTTCTCGGCTTCCAGGCTGAAAATGACGATATTCCTCCTCATGTTCTTCTTGGAATTCCTGCAGACAAAAATTACTTAGGTGATTCGTTAGACCTTAATTTAATTAATATTCATGTGTTCCAGTGAAGGTACTGTACATGGAATTTCGAAGTGTTTTTTAGTGGTGAAGTTCTGCAAACTTTACTTTTACTGTTGGTATTTGTGAATGTAATTTTGATTCGAGGCTAACCCTAAGTAAATGAGTCTGTAATCAAAGAACATAGCAATAATTTGGAACTTGAAAAAGGGCTATGGAGCAAAATCTACACTATACAGTTAATGATCATCAGTGTAATGAATGTCAGTAGTGTGGCTATGTAATATCCTCTACAGATGTTTTACTGGAACATTCAATCTTCTGCAAACTCAGACATGTCAACAGCTTGTGGTGAAATCGGTATTTTACTGCTTCCAGTCAAAAATATAAAAGGTAACAACTGATTATTTTAGATTTATAGCAGTGAAAAAACAAATTTCAGAGTGCAGCTTGCTACTGCCGAGTTCATAGAATATCAAAAACTGCAATAATAGCATACTTTTCTTTGTTCTTCAAACTGAGCAATCTCCATATTCTCTTCTTCATCCCTCTCTGTCAACTTTTTCTTTCTCTCCATGACTTTCTTAACCTTGACCTCATCCTCAGATAGTGCACTGCGCTCAAGTTCAAGCTGATCCTGCAGTTCCTCGTATTGTTTTTGAAGCTCTGTTTTCTCAGGTACAATGAATGGCAGTCTCTCTACACATACTGCACTGAATATATTTGATAACCGTCCTGGATCAGTTTCAATTTTAACCTTTACTGAAGTGGAATATAACTTTTTATTATAAAAAGTACTGTTTAGATGTGGTTTTGATGAATGTTGGATCACAGATGTAACTAAAAGAAAATTGAAAAAAATTAGATGAAATACAGTAGCACTAACGTGAAGCAAATACACATTCACCAGAGAAAACCATACATGAACCGTAACCAAGGATATCAGTAACCCCCAGTCTATCACACGATTGCACAGCATTCTTTTGAAAATGAGGCTCCGCACCAAAATCAAAACTTATGCATCATTGACAAAAACTCTTGGATGGGAGTAGAAAACTCTGGAGTGCTTTTGAATTATATATTTGCTGGTCAAAAAGAACAACTGCTTCGTTTTTGTAGTACTAATGTTATGGTATTTTTATTTATCGAAGCATTGGTGGTGGTGGTGGTGGTGGTGGTGGTGGTGGTGGTGGATGGTGGTTGTGTTTTGTGTGTGTGTGTGTGGGGGGTTTACAAATTGGCAAGCCATGTCTTTTAGATGTTATGTGATCCCTCTCCGTATGTTGAGCGTAAAAAATTCCAAACAGCTCAACCATCACTGCTTGGATTTCGTTAGTTTTATTGGCACTATTTATAATATATGCCTAAATATTTTGCTAATAAAATACTAAGGGCTGATCTAATGCTCAATATATTTTATATCCAAGGTCATCCTCCTTAGGAGCAAGAGAATAGAATGTACATCTCTTCATCACTCCTCTCCTACACCTTAACATTTCCAATCCCCCTGCATGAGGACAGTATTTTCTGGAACTGCTCTCATAGACTCAATATAGTAATTACTGAGGACAACATCCTTAATTTTGACTGAAACTCATACTAATTACCAACCTGTTTTTAAATTTCTGTAGCAGCTGAAAGACAAACCTCTGTTTGTAAATAAACTAGTAAAAACTTTTGTACCTCTGAAAACCATGCACTCAGCCGCCATGTTGAATGTCGTGACCGCGCGATCCTGGACACAGTCTAGACCCAGTATCTCCGTCTTTCCGAGTGTATTTCCGTTGTATTTCCGCTATTTTTCTCCACTCCATTGATTTCCCTTCTCACTGGATTTTATTTTTAGCAAAAAATGGCGTTTAAAGTTTGTTATTTCGTTGAAAACTTAAACGAATTGATAATTATTGTTAAAAATTTTTTTTAGCAGAAGACATTTTTGGCGCTCGATACGATTTTTTAAAAAATCTAATAAAGAATCGATCATAATAGTAATAAATTCTTAAAATGCAAAATGAAAGCTAATTTGGCTTTTCTTTTTTTTTTCCTTTCTAATTCTTCCTCTCTTTCTAAAAAATATTTTCCCATTTTTTTTCATTATGTATGTATGGGCTACCTGTGTCCTCTATATGGCCTCGTTGTCATTCTAGACTAACCACACTGATTCAGTGTTTTCCCCTCAGTGAAGACGTTTCCTTTATCATTTGCGAAGTTTGAAAAAATAATTCCCCTCTTTATTAGCTCCAATGTAAGCAAGATCTTTACTATGGGCCAATGTTTTGGCACAGACTGTGCAGGGTTGTGCCCTCGATGGTCGTACAGACAAGAAAGAGGCTTTGATCGTTACACAAAATTTGCACCAAAAAACCGATCGTAAGTAAAGACTTTAGCTCATAAGCTTACAAGAGCTTCCATCTTTAACGACGAAAATCACTGGCTAAAAACAATTTTAATCTTTAAAACCCGAACTGGTAATTCCAGAGAGCTTCGTTTAGCCTTTTTTATCCTTTTTATGAAGGTGATATTCGTGCGAATATCATTTTGAAGCCGCTAGTGACCTGATATTTTTAATACTGTACGCTAGCTCTTCGCGTGATATTCTTTTGTTTTGAAAATTCAACTTCGCACGAATTTAATTTTTTAATCGGTAGCAAAATCTAACGCAAATGATATTTCATTAGCATAAAATATTCCCTAAAATTTGTCATCCAGCGTCATTTCAGTTTAATTTATTTGAGAGCATAAATTTTGTACTTTTTTCTGAAGTACATTTTTTTGCCTTAGGCTCATAAGCTCATATCTCTTTGTTTTTGTACATAATGTTTTGGTAAAATTTAATTGATGTCTAGTGAGCTTATATTTGGTGTACAATTTTTACTAGGAAGGGGGTAGGTAGGGGGGGAGGTAATAAAATAAAGGGTGATGAAAGGGGAGAGTGGAGGCAATAAACAGTATAGGAAATATTTTTTATCCTACAATAGAGGGTCGTTCAAGTTTTTTTTTAATTTAGCAAGCGAATCCCATACCTTCGCCAATAAAAATGAATGGTTATTAAGAAACAAAAAAATTGAGAATGTTACTTAAAGAGTGCTTATAAGTATTCTTCTTTTGTGAAATTTAGTAGGAAATATGGTGACCAACACCTGCTGAGTGAAATACAAGACCCAAGGTCTGATGATGAAATTGACTTTTCAGGTAAAAGCAATACTAATAACTCCTTTTCAGCATAGCTGCGATTCTTATTACTTATTAAACATCAACTACACCATGTGTCACTTGAGTATTACAGTCTATCTGTGATGGGTACCCCCTTTGATGATCTTAAATAAATGTAGATGTAGATGTAGATTATGCTTTATGTTGACATCTGCATGGCTATGAAGACTCTGACGGCAACAAATAAATAAATAAAATGAATATTTATGATGAAATTATAAAGAACACCAGGGCCTGGTTGTACGAAGGGTGGATAGCTCTATCCAGTGGATAAATTTATTGGATAATAGCATGAACTTATCCACTGGATAAGGCTATCCACCCTTTGTACAACCAGACCCAGTGTAGGATATATAGTATATTGAAAATATGTAGACTTAATCAGTATTCAGGAGTGCACATTTTATCTGCAGACATACATAGTGAGATATCTGGCCAAAGAACCAATGATGACAGGAAACCGTACAGTGATACGTCAAGTCCTGTTACAGCAGAAAGGTAAATCAACTGTTAATTTTATAAATATAATAATTATTAATATATTAGTATTAATTTTAGACTTGAATGTAGTGTTTCCCATGGTGAATTTTTAGGAAGTCTAAGGCCCCGTCCACACTTATGCCAGATAAATTTGAATCCGCAACTTTCACACCGAAACCAAAAAAAAGTTTTCCGTCCACGCAGGAAAATGGAAAAAATGTTTGCTGCCACACTATTGAGCATCTGAGCATGTACATCGGAGCTGAAATTGATCCCGCGGTGAATTTTTAGCCTTCCCGCCATGTTCCCATGACAATCATGATGTCATCATATTCGAAAAATTTCGGATACAAAATGTTCTCCATCCACACTAATACGGCTAGCCGCTGTTTTCAAATTGTTCTGCTCTGGAGACCGTATTCGATAAAATTCGTTTTCCGTGAAGAATTGTTCCGGATTCGCCCGGACTAGTGTGGACGGTAGACCTAACTGAATAGATAAAAATTTGGGTTCAAATTTATCCGGCATAGTGTGGATGGGGCCTAAGATTATACCAAAATAATTATTTGTCTCTGCTGGTTCAGTGATTATGGTGAATGATACCTTTGCTTTCGTCTCAGTTAATATTCAACGATCATCACTTTGACTTTGCCAAATTATAAACTAATAAACTCTAATGACTGTGTCCATCCTTCAATTGAATTATTTAAATTATTATATTATTCATGCTGTTTCTAATGGTTCTGTTGATATACACATTTTCCAGGACAAACAAAGGAGTCTATAATGGTCCAAAATCTGATAGCCATCAACCATCTACACCGCAGTACACGGCTATCAACATTGAATAGGTTTTGAATGCATAATTTTTATGAAAATGAAAATTTATAATTAATGTCAATTTAGTTATATTGATTCCCACTTTGGTGGAGCACATGGATGGGCTTACTTTACAGCTAGGGTTTACAAGGTAGTTTTTATTATATACTTATTGACTGAGTGGGAGGGCCGTACGGGAAAATATTTGGCTTGAGGTGATGCTGTACGGACCGAGCACAGCAAGGTCCATACAAATGACCGAGAGCCAAATATTTTCCCGTACGGCCCGACCTAACTCATTCAATAAGCATTTTATCATATGACCCTCACGAAAAAAAAAATAAAATAAAATAAAAGAAAGAAAGAAATAGTAAATAAATGCTGAAAAAGAGACAGCACGCAGATTCGAGCAGGGCCATACGGATCCGTACGGCCCTGCTCGCTCAAAGCCGTATGGCCCTGCTCACGCCATTTTCCCGAAGGTTTTTCTAAGAGTGCATGCCCGGCAGATACAAGTCATATGATAAATAGATTTATCTATGGATTTAAATGTTTCATAATAAATTTTATCTAAAGCCATTTACATATTATTAACACAAAATACTTTTGTTGATGAAACTAATGTAAACCTTAAAATTTCCTTGTAGTCGACAGTGCCCAGTTATTTTCTGTTGTATTAATTATTTTTTTATTTAATTTATTTGCTAATATCAAAAACTTTAAAAGATCCAATTACCTGTGAACTTCTTGATGCGCAGTAACATTAATTAGTGAACTTTTCTGTAAGGGCATGAATGTACACCTATATATAGGAGTCAATTGTATTCCTGTATATTAGTTTTTATGTTTTTTAATGTCTTTGGAAGAGGTGGTATCTTTTTTATAACTTTCTAGTCTATAAGGCATGTTAGTGATAGGAATAAGATTAAATTTTTGACAATGTTAGATTTTTCTACTAGTCCCGTAATATTATATTGTCACTTTGTATGAAATTACAGTATATGAAGTTTTTAACCATTAATGAATCAGTTCCTTCCTCACTTGGCTTTATTAGAACCACATAAAAATAATTAAAATAATCTTTTGGGTATGTATCTAATTAGTATCTGAACTGATAGTGTATTAAAGAAAATTTGTAAATAAAACTGACTAGGGAGCTTCTATAGAAAACCAGGCAGGTGCCAGGCAGACTCAGTGCCAATCAAGAAAAACATAATCAAGACAGTCTTGTGTGTATTTAATGGATAATTACTGAGAAAGTGATTATCTAGTATAATTATTGTTCTTATCAAAATCCAATTGTTTTCTTTCTAGCTTCTTTATCATAGAAACAAAGCCAATAATGAATGAACTAAATATGTCTGATTTTCCTCTATGCATTCTTTGGGATAATGCAGACTGAAAACAATGGATTTTGATAAGATCAGTAATTATTTTCAGATAATATGTAGCCTCCTAGCTTTCCCAGAAGAAATTAGGATTTCTAGGATTTTTTCTAGGGTATTGTGGAAATATTAAGGAAACTGTACATTCTAGTACAATTGATGATTAGAAGCTGGATTGTCCACAAGTATCTGGATGTTTTTCAATTCCTGAGTGTAAAGGAATTTTATTGTTATGCCATCTAACCACAGGCAGCCCAAATTGTATTATGGGTGCCAGCATGTGATGGTGACGCCTCTATTCTGTTTTCAAAAATATCCAGATACATGTAGACAGGGCCTAATTAACAATCCCCTCCCCCAGGGAAACATTCTATTCTTAAGGTGACTGCCTACTTTTGAAAATTGATTTAAGCTTTCTTTAAAACTTCGATTTTCCGAATTGAAATTCAATGCTGATTCCAAATCTGGAAAGAAAAATAGGGTGTCCTGAGCTCGTTTTCGAGATAATTAGCATTTAATGGAAGCCTACGCACGAGCTTTTGGAGTAAAAATTGCGCCACCGGAAGTGATTAGAAAAAAATTAAGATAAATAAGATAATAGTTATTTGCAGACTATATGATCGCACGAACGAAGKCTAGTCAATCCTTCTACAATAATACATGGATATTTTCGACAAAAAGACAGAGAGATACATTGATTTGTCATATTTTGTAGTTTCGGTGCTCTTAAAAAATCTCATAAAGTCGAACAAAAATCCCTACAAAAATCTATTTTTTCACGTGTTCCTGATTTAAACTTTTCCTAAAATGTTGATATTACCTAGATTTTTAGGAGTTTTTTCGAATGAGCTATCAAAAAATATAGAGTCCCGTGCAAAATTTGAGGGTTTTGCCCTGTTGAAGCTCAAAACGCGTATGGTTCTTCAATAAAATCTTGTAGATTTTTCAGCGGTTTTTGAGCACGCCCACATCGTGGGCTCAAATCGAACGTTCAAAAGTAGGCAGCCACCTTAAGCTACCTGGAGGAAAATAATGAATAAAAATAATGTATAAATAATGAATAAAAAATGGAATATTGACACTTTGAGCCTTTTGATTGCTATAGTCACTTTTGTTTTTGCAAAAATCAACTGTAATGCCTATAAAGAATGCAGCTTGAACGATACCAATGTTTCAAAATTCCACAGATTTTTAATGGTATCTGTAAATTAATAGCTAACTTATAAATAAGGCTAAAGATGCAAGTGAGCTCTGTGCTCTTTAAAAATAGTGGTATGCATCTGATGCAAAACTGATGTATTATTTGGTGCATGCTAACTCCTTTCCAACACAGAAAGCACCCTGGTTTATAGCACATAAATAGGAAAATGCTTATATGTATAATTAACAAGTCTGAAGGCTGTTTGGGAAGGGAATAGGGAAAGTGTGAACTGATCCACAAGCTCCCATTCCTTTTCCAAAGCTGTCATGCATATGGGCAAGAAAGTCTTGTTATGCAGGCTAGTTTATTTGATGATACATCAAAATTCACATTTATAATTTTTTTGTATGAAAGTATTAAAATAAGTAATACTTCTAAAGGGAATGGAAAAAGAAAAGAAATAAAGGTATTTAGCCATAAATTGAGCATGAGTCGCAGTTATAAAATAATGTAATTACTGAAAAAGTGAAAAACAATGCATGTCTATAGCCTCTGTCCAGTCTTGTAAAGGTCTGAGAGCTTGACACTGTGATTGAACTGGGAAAGGGCTAACTAAAATAATGGCCCATTTGGTTAATTCATTTAACTATAAAGTAGTTTAGTTTGATTACTGAACAAACTAATGAACTGTTATAAACCCTGCATTCTGATTGGTCATGCTTATAGTCAAATCCAACAAGTGGACTACCGTCAATGCTGCATTCTGATTGGATGAAGCAACTACAAGGCTATAAGTCATAGCCTACTATATAGCGAAAAGTGCCAGCTTGGAAAACCAAAACATTAAATTCACTTTCATTTAAAAATTGTTTCCATATATATTTGACCAACTAGTTGGATTTGACTAAAAAAATTATTATTCCTCTCGCCCTCATTACCTATAAGTCAATATCCCATTCCACCTTTTGACCTCATGGCCTAATTGACTCCATAACCAATAAGTCCTGAAATTATAGTCCACCATTAAAGAAATATAACTTAGAGTAATGGTAGCTGCCTAAAGGTTTTCCAAGAGGTACGTTTTGGAAAATGTCAAGGCTTATAAATACCAGGGCCTGGTTGTAGGAAGGATGGATAGTACTATCCAATGGATACTTCCTTATCCAGTAGATAAAGTGATGCTGTTATCCAATACAATAATTATTATACACTTGATAAGGATTTAACCGTCCGATTTATCCACTGGATAAGGATTTATCCTAGTTATTTCAAAATTATTGATTTTTTTTATCTTTATACTTTTAGGGTACTCCACCTCCCCCACCCCCACCCCCTCATTTTTATCGATGAAAATGGAAAATTTTAGTTTCTCATTTTCTAACCAATTCTCATCTTTTTTCGTTGTTTAGAGGAGAAAGGATCTGGTTTTTACTGAAATTAATTTATTTACTTTGAGGTGAAAAATTTTAATTTTATTTTATTGGAACGACTGAACCATGAAATAAATTATGATGCAAATTACCGGTCCGTATACGGTCCGATTGACACTGCAAGCAAACCGTACTGGTACGGTCGCTGTTTTGTTGACTAGTTGTGCTTATAGTCATGGCTGGATCTCAATGTTGGTCTTTCAAGACAGATTGTTTCGATGCAAAGAATTGTAGTTTTGATTACTGCCGTCTTGAAGAATATCAGGGTAAGTTATGATAGGCTATAAAGTGACCCTTAATATTTTACAGTACAAAGTCCATACGAGACATAATAAACCGGCTCGATCGGGACTTTTTGAACACAAATATAACTTTTGAATATTTCCCTTTAGAACTTTAGCTTTTGCTTATCAATTTGAATCATTATATTCACTAGAAAGTCTGATATAAACATTGATAAATTCTGCTCACTTCATGCCGCGTAACGCCATATTCTATCACGCTCGAAATACTATAGTATGGCTCTATTCGTTTTCAGCCGATTTTTTAATCAAAAACTTAAAAATATCTTCAAGTTTAAACCATTTAYACAAACAAAATTATAAGAAACATTTATGAAGGGAGTATAAATTCAGATTTCACTCGATTTTGTGAAATATTCAGCGTTTGTCATGATCTATGCACATCAGCTGGTGCGATGGCATTGGTTGTTGCAGTATCGTATATCTTGGAGGAGGAAGGGGGTGTGATTACAGATGCCTTTTTTAATTAAATTTCTTAATACATTTATCTATTTTTTATATGTACCAATTCTTCAAGATCATCCCAAATTCGGGCATTATTACTAGTGTTTGTCTATTGGACACATCGATCAAAGTCTACTTCTTTAAAAAGACCTTTTAATTAAATCTTACAACATAGGATTTTTTGCACATAGATAATCACTCTCACCATCACCTTATATTTTTATTTTTGCGTGGGGCATGCGAAGTTTACGTTCTTTTCTGTCTTTTTTTAATTTTTCAAATGGCATAAAAGATCGAGCTGCAAAGGATCAGGGAGGGAGGGGTGGATGCGTACATACAGTGAAACGAAATAATATTAGTTCCTAGAATAGAATAAAATAGCGTAAAATGCTATCAAATCGATTTCACAAGAGAAGGTCGCTAATATATAAAAATATAAGGTTTTTACTAATGTTTACCTTTACTAATAACCAAATATATTTGGGACATTGAAAAGTACATGTGTAAATTAAGGAAATAAAGAGCCAATCAAAGCACGACCTCGATCGTGAAATAGACATGCGCTTTACAGCTAAACATACTCCTAAAAATATCGACTTATTAGCTTGATTTTGCTCTTTCTAAATAGTGCATATCTTCTCCTTCTTCAATTCTAGCTGGAGGCCAGAGGTCTAAAGGCTTGGACATGACTGACGGCAAAGATATCACTACTTTGATTGTCGTGTTCGGTGCCTCGGTGAGTAAAGCTTTAATGTCTTGAATGTCTCTGTTGTTTGTCACGGAGCAATAATTAATTGCTGTTTAGGAGCTCTAAATCAGTGATACAATAAGTATTTAGAAAAGATAGGTATAAACCTTAAAGACAGTGACTGAACACGTATTTCTTTTTGAAAAGAAGATCCGCCATCACTCATCAAGATTTGCATCTCCTTCGGCCAATTCGGTTCCGTGCGTCGAGCAAGACACGAGTAGTAGCACATAAAATGCAAGCGATTCAACTTGTATGACAACTAAACAACACCAGCAGTTTAATAATCTTACTTGAAATATTACAATGCAAAATTCGAAAGTTTAGCCAGATCTCAAAGTTGAAGTTCGTACAATGTACAAAAATCTCTGCATGCTAGCTTGCGTGCTAGCGCTCCCATGCATTGTTTACCCACGGCCAAATGCTGACAGCTTGTACTTGATTATTTCTGACAGGGAGACCTCGCAAAGAAAAAGATCTATCCCACTCTTTGGTAAGGTTTCTTGCATATGTATTTCAGTTTAATGTACATTTATTTTCGATTTTTGCATATATTTGGGGGTGTTTTTTGGTGACTGACATCTGTAAATATCTGTTACATAAGCAAGGAAGAAAGCCAATGACAAAATAGGGTACTGATCTTAGACCATATTTTGGCTTTGAATTTGACAAAATCTAAAAAAGCTATGAATTTTGGGCACATCTAATTTAAAATTAAGTTACATTCAAATTTCCTGCAATATACATGTTGGATTATGATCAGCTGCCCTTAGATATCTTTTTTTTTTTTTTGGAACAAATATGAAATTTACCATCTGATTGAATTGATAGCTGGGCTGTCAACTCTCCCGGATAAACCGGGAGTCTCCAGATTTTGGACCGTATCTCCCGGTCTCCAGATTAGAGTCTCAAATCTCCCAGATAATCCCCGAAGCTGACCATTTCTTGTGAGACTCGACTTTCACAACCATAAAATTCCAATTATTTCGTGTTGTTTGTGTTATTTTACATTGCTAACAAAATTAAAACATTCCTCGTAAACTGTTCTTGCAAGCAGGCCATTGTAATATAAATGATAATCTGATTGTTCAGAAATAAACCAATCACATCAAATGTTACAAAGCGAATGGTCTTTTCGCGCTTTTTTCCGCTGTGACTTCATGTCCCTTCGCTATCAATTCTCAAGATTTGAATACCTCGGGGGTTGACAGCCCTGTGATAGGATTTATTACCAGGGATTGAATTAATATTCAAACAACCAATGATAGCTCTTGTGGTTAGATAGGCTTGTCATCTCTTGTAAGAATTCTAGAATACAGACTAGAATGTCTCAAATTGTTAATAACATAGAAGAAAAGAAGTTTATATGATTTGGAATTTTAAAAAGAGAAGGAAAAAAAAAAAAAAAAAAGAAGAGGAAAACAGAAGTCTGATGACAACACACGAAGTTTATGAATCCTGTTGTTGTTGTTGTTGTTGTTGTTGGGATACCTTTGGAATACTTAACACAGGGGCCCCAGTATTAGATGATACACCTGATTATATGGGTAAAAAACATGTAAGAAATTGTGTTCTTCTTTCCAATTTAGGATACCTGTAAAATACTTAACACAGGAAGCTCAACCTAACATTTTTCATTTTGCTTTAAGGTATCTTTATAGGGACAATCTTCTTCCCAAGGCGACTTTTGTTGTTGGCTATGCCAGATCTGCTCTTACAGTTGCACAGTTACGTGCTAAAACTGAACCATTTATGAATGTGAGTTTTGTGATATACTTATAACAGGGATAATTGGGGGGTTCACAGTAAGGTTCCAGGGGGTACTTCAGCTGGAGCCCACCACCTCCCCTGGGGGGGGGGGGGGGGTACNGGGGGGGGGGGTACTCCCCTATATTCGCTATACAGGTACATGCCGCCAAACAGGGTATGGTTTTCAGTGATTCTACTCTGGAACAGGGTATATAAAATCGTGCTCGCTCTGGGACAGGGTATATGAAATCACGCTTTAGCTCCTCTCTGGAACAGGGTATCCATTTTTGCAATACCGGAACAGGTTATGATTTTCAGCGATCTTGCTCTGGAACAGGGTATGAATTTCAGCGATTTTACTCTGGAACAGGGCCAGGGTTCAGTGGGCTCAGCGGCACATCCCTACCCTAAACAGGCAAGAATACCCCCCAGGGCCTCCCCCTCCCACACACACAAGAACACACACACACGCACACACACACACACACAAACACACTTTAAAAGTTGCAAATTTTCTAAATGTGGTCTGCAAATTTCATGTGTCTTTAGAAAAAAATTGTAGTACACCTTCGCCTAATAGCTGAGTTTCCTCTACATGACCATTAATGATTAGACTATTAATGAAAGAACATTTAACTTTTTTTAGATCAAGGATGAAGAGAAAGCAAAGGCAGAAGAATTTTTCAAAATATGTTCATATGTAAAGGGTTCCTATAATGAAAAGTCTGCATATCTTGCATTGAATACAGAACTTGATAAAATCGGTGTCAAAAATATGCAGAATCGGTTATTCTACTTGGCTCTTCCACCCTCTGTCTTTGTTGATGCTACCCAGAACATTAAAGATTTCTTGACAGCAAATAAGTAAGTAACAATATGTAGTTCCATAAATTATATATCCCCTGCCCCTCCCACCCCTTCCCCCAGAAATTTCAAATTCTTCCATACAAACTCTGTAATGTTGTTCTTTCTTTGACCTCCCCACCCCTCCCCCCCAAATTCCTCCATGGGGGGGGGGGGGGTTAGGGGGCAGAGTTGCAGAAAGTTAAGATATTTATAATGACTAGATAGTTATATTCTGTAAAAAGTCTGTTTATTATTTATTTTCGGTTCATTTTTTATTCTTGAAGAGGTTGGAGTCGTGTAGTAGTAGAAAAACCTTTTGGCAAAGACAGTGACAGCTCAGCACAGCTTTCAAACCACCTCTCTGGGCTGTTCCAAGAGAAATCTCTGTACCGTATTGATCATTACCTGGGAAAAGAAATGGTGCAGAATATTATGGTTCTGAGGTATGCTGTATTATATTTATATATATTTTTGTATTTTTGCCACTCATGTCGCATAATCCTCTTGTAAACATTGTCATATAATTATATAAATATTTGATTTGTGTATTCTTATGAATGATTTTTTTTTAGATTTGGTAATCGTATATTTGGTCCAATATGGAACAGGGATAGCATTAAGAGTATTACCATTGGCTTTAAGGAGCCAGTGGGAACGTATGGAAGAGGTGGATACTTTGATGAGTTTGGTATTATAAGGTAAGAGGTTAACAGTGAGCTATACCCTCTATATACCATTACATGTATACAGCTGTTTCAAGAAAGGTTGGTTAGGTTTTGTTGCATGTTGCATGTTACATTTTGCATGTTGCATGTTGCATCTTTCATGTTGCATGTTGCATCTTTTATGTTGCATCTTTCATGTTGCATGTTGCATGTTATAAATAAATAATAAATAAATAAATCACTTTTATTTAAGTGTCTAGTCGTTCTAGCGCTTTCGCACTAATTGGGGACACTTTTC